AAATGTCATTAATTTTAAATTTCAGCTGTGTTTTATTTATTTCAGGAGTAAAACTTTGGAAACATCTAATAGCATAAAGCAGGGGTGGCAATAACCCTTTTCCAGAAATTACTAGAGTTGTTATTAGTCTTTAAAAATAAATGAATGATTAGAGCAAAGATGAAATATTTGAGATGTGGTATCTCTCTTCCTTTCTACCCTTACCTCCAACTTCAGGTTTTTATTGTGCACAACTCTAGCTGCAGATATGCTGTTTTAGTTTGCTAGGGCTGCTGTAACAAAGTACCAGAGACAGAGTATCTTAAACAACAGAAATTAATTGACTTGCAGTTCTGGAGAATGGAAGTCCAAGATCAGGATGTTGGCAGGGTTGCTTCCTCTTATCTGTTCTAGGCCTCTCAGCTTGGCTGGTATGAAGACAGCTGTCTTCTCCCTGGTTTTCTTTGCATTCTCTTTTCTCTGAACATGTTTCTGTGTCCAAACTTCCCCTTTTGCAAATATACCAGTTATAAAAATAACTACAGACCGCTTTAATGAGACCTCATTTTAACTTAATCACATCTATAAAGACCTTATTTCCAAAAAAGGTTACATTCCGAGGTACAGTTGATTATAGGACTTAAACATGAATTCTAGGGGAACCCAATTTGGTCTGTAACAAATGCTTATAATAAACCAAGAGTAACAACAGGAAAACTTACACTTAATTTGTAAATCATTTTGGCAATAAATTCCAATCTCATGCTAACACTGTTCTAAATCCACTCATTTCCGTAAAGTTACTGAAATGGTTTTCCTCACAATGGATGTATTGTTTTGGAGTAAGGATAAAATACAATGAATTCACAATACACAGAGCTTTTTTTTTTCTCTATTTTGCACATTCAGATCTCAGCCTGAAAGCAACTCAAGGTTTTCTTGGTTTTGTGTGTGTGCATTTCACTATGGTAGCTATAGGAACAGTACTAAATGTGATTTAAAAAGCAGAAATTTGTCATACAGATAATTTCCCTTTTGTACTGATCTCTTGAAGGAAAAATGAAAAGTTGTGTTTTCATCATTTAAAAGACTAAGATAATGGGCATGTATCCAAATGTTGGAGGCGGTAGAGGATGAGAGACAGAGAGTGATTGTGGAGATGAGACCTCTGTTTAGAAAGAACAAATTTTGATGATCCATTTCTCCTGAAAAGCATCTACCGCAAAAGGTTAAATGCAGCTCTTTTTGGTTAATTGCTTCTTTGCTTCTTTTCACACACTTATTTTCTTTAGTTATTCATGTCCAAATGTAAATTTTAAAAGTATTGTCTGTGTCTGTGTATTTTCTTCCCCCATCCCCCGCCTTTTTTTTCCAGAGTGAATATAAAACACTTTGGATAGTCAGTTTTATTGAGGTTTTAGGAATGTTTGAGTGATTCATAGTAATTTAAATCCTTCTACTGAAATCTTAGATGTTGCTAAATTTCAGCCTGTAATTTTCCTCCTTTGCCAGATATCGAAACGTATTTTTGTGACACCACACACTACACTCACTGGAATCGTGAGCCTTTGAAAATTCATGCAGATCTTTCCCACTCTACAAAAGGGTGCATTTTAAGCTGAAGAAATGGAATGCTAAATTATGTAGTAGGTAAAAGAAGTGGGTTGTGGTGAGTTGGGAGGGTGAATATGAAAAATGCCAGAGCACATGGCAGCATCAGTGAAATTGAAAGTACATGCGCCCGTCATATTGAAATATGTCTGCTTAAAAAACTCCTGTTTATATGAAATAGTTTTTGAGAGAGATTTTTGTACATGCTGATTGCACATTTATTTGTAAGTTCTGAATTCTGTTAATGGTTGCTTAGTTTTCCTTTATGTTAGCATCCCGTACTTGCATTGGTACAGCCTTATTTTCATTTGTTCTGATATATTTTTTGCATATTTTTTATTTAACTGTGCAACCTTGATGAATTAAGGAAAAATGATCAAATGTAATCTGAAGCCTTCTGCCCCATTCAACTCTTCTATCACCATGATTTCCTATCTCTGAACATATCATGGACAACGTTGACTCTAACAGATTTCACATTTTTTCTGATTATGAAATAATATATGTTTGTTTAAGAATATTTGGAGAATGCAAAAAAGTCACATAGAAAAATATGAAAATCAACAGCAGTCCCAGCATCTGGAGTAACTTCTGTTTATATATATGTATTGCTGTATAGCTTCTAAGTTCTCCCCTTCTTTCCCTCCCTCTTTTTTCTGCTTTCTCCCAGTCATACACCTACTAATATATATTGAAACCTGGTTGTGCATGGATTTATAACATGTTTTTGTTTAATAGCATACTATCAGCCAAGTGAGGTGGAACATTTCTGTAATTCCAGCAATTCAGAAGACTGAGACAGAGGGATCACAAGTTCAAGGCCTGCCTCAGCAACTTAGTGAGGCCTTAAGCAACTTACTGAGACCCTGTCTCAAAATAAAAACTAAAAAGAGCTGGGGATATATATGGCTCAGTGGTTAGGTGCTCCTGGGTTCAATCTCTAGTTCTCCCCCAAACAACAACAACAAAAAACAACATATAGGTAGAATTTATTGTATCCCATCATCTGAATATAAAATGATATATTTCCCAAACTCTAGTTATAAGCCATTTGTTGCCTCTCTATTTTTGTGTGTTTGATTAACCCAACTGAAATTTGTCCTCTTCTCCTTGGCCCAAGTCATGCCTAGATGAACCCTCTTATTCTTAGGGCCACTATTAGTCTTGTGTCTTTAGTGTCCCATATTATATATCTTCTGTTATCCCATCAAAGGGTTTCCTAATTCACCACATTGGAGTTTGCATAGCTCAACTTTTTGTTGCAAGAGTCTTTAGAACAGCGCTCTGGATGTTACTGATGCCTCAAAAGCATTTTTACTGATTTGGTTTGATATATTATGACTTTATCCTGTTTCTTCCACTCACAGTTCTACAAAAGTGCCTTTTCTTCAATTACCAAAATTTATTACATTTTACTACTTTAGTGCATTTGGGCTATGAGAAATTTTAGAGATCAAGTCCAATTCCTTAATGTAATGTAACTTAGAAAGGCTGCATTAATGGTTCAAGATTACCTACTTAGTCAACAGCAGAGACAGGATTAGCAGCAATTTTTGGCCTCTTTACTCAGGATTGGCCAGATTAGTTGTTAAACTAGTGGCTGGGTTGCAGATTTAATCTCTAGTTATATCAGATAACTTTAGTTTTTTTTTATAAAAGTGTGCAAAACTTTTAATTCTAACATCCATATCCTTACTTTTGGAGCAAATGTATGTAATAGGATACAGTTTAAGAAGAAGTCATTATTGCTATTGTAGAAATAATTCAAGTGTCCTGTTGAGAGTGGGCTTTATTTTTGCATATGAATGAGGCATTATTTGAATTTAAGATTGATTGTAGAGTACATTTAAAATTTTTTCATAAAACATAACCTCTAGCCTTTCTTTACCCATTCCTGCCAGTTCCTATATTTATTTATTTATTTTTGCTACATATTTATTTATTTATTTATTTACACAACTAGCATTTTATAGAAAGTGTATAACGCCAAAACCAAACATTTTTTCTTCATTATACACGAGCTCTCTTATCATTATTATTATTTTTTGCATTACAATTCTTAATACACCTTTATACCACAATTTATCATATCTCTGATTGTATATAAGGTATTTTGGCACCAAATTACTATATTTAAATAAAACAGTTGAAGGCAAATGAACAGAAGACCAGTGTTGACTAATTGGGACTGTGGTAGAGGAGGCATTCAACAATTTGGGGGTTGGAAATGAGGCTAACTTGGCATGTGTGGTTATAGCTGAGGGGCAGCTTGTGTGTGTGTGTGTGTGTGTGTGTGTGTGTGTGTGTGTGTGTGTTGTGGGGGTGGTATAGGGGTACTGAGCAAATAAGTATATTCAGGATGCTAGGAGCAAAGCTTACTGCTAGAGAAAAGAGTTACAAATAAGTAAGGAAGAATAAACCACGTGGTATCAATTTAGGATTAGAGGTATCAAGTTTGAAAATGAACTCTTGGAATTTCACTTCTTTTTCTATTTATCTATAGATCCATATCTAAAGGAAATGTGTGGAGGGGTATCATATACATTTATTTCCTAGCACTCATATTTTTTTTTGAGAGAGAGAAAGAGAGAGAGAGAGAGAGAGAGAGAGAGAGAGAGAGAGAGAGAGAGAGAGAGAGAGAGAATGAATATATGAATCTTTTTTTTGTAGATGGACACAACACAATGCCTTTTTATTTTTTATGTGGTGCTGAGAATCGAACCCGGGTCCCGCCCGAGCTAGGTGAGCGCTCTATTGCTAACCCACAATCCCAGCCCTCTTATTTTATAAAAAAAAATCAGAGTCTTGGAACAAAGCAGCCCAAATGGGTTAAAATAGTGGGGTTTCACACTTTCCTGCCAATATCCATGGGGCCAAGTAAAGATAGGAGATTGGATATCTTTCATCTGGTATGCAGGACTTTCACTTCATATCTGTATTTTCATGGGCGTCTCCCCTTATACTGATACCCTGGAGTTAGAATCTTCCATAAAGTAGTTCCGCAAAATAAAGTTAGGAAGTGACCTGATTACATGGGGTGAAGAGGGAATTTGAAGTTCTTGTTTGTTTGATTCGATTTTAGACCAATGTTCTCATTTTAACTTTACCACCACCTCAGTGTACATGAACTTCCAATGACTCCAGTCCCTGAGCCCTTCTGGAATTCTGCTTCATCAATATGTTTGCATCTTTCTAGTTTACCTTTGTTTTCTAGGTCTCTTTTAATTTTTGTACTGGGATTTCAGTGCCCACTGATTGATCAGGTTCCCAATTTCTAAAAAGTGGTTGATAGATCTTGCTTGCTGTAGTTTTTTCTTTTAATCCTTTTCTTGGCCTTTTTGGCCTTTTATGAAATATACCCGAGGATGGGTAATTTACATATAACAGGAGTTTATTTCTTATTGTTCTAGAGGCTGAAAAGTTCAAGAGCAAGGTGCTGCCAACAGGTTTGGTGTCTGGTGAGGACTGCTCTCTGGTTTCAAGATGGAGCCTTGTTGCTGTGTCCTCACATGGTGGAAAGCAGAAGGGCAAAAAATGGCTAGTTTCTGCCCATTATAAGATCACCACTGCCATTTATGAAGTCTTCATGGTTGTGATTTAATCACCTTGGGAAGACCCTACCTTTTAATATCATTGCATTGGTCATTAAATTTCTACTTGAATTTTGGAGGAAACACAAACATTTAAACCTTAGGGATCATTAAGGGTGTGTGCCTTTTATTTGTCCTTATCTTTTGGTTTGGGTGGGAGTTTATAGGGTGCAGAAGTAAAAGTAAGTGTTTAACATACCATGTGCAATCAGATCTTCAATAGTCTTTTTGTTCTTAACATATTTGGGTAATATTGGCTATATCTAAGAAATAGAGAGTTTTAACTATTTTTTTTGGGGGGGTATTCATTTTTGTATGTTCTGTTCCTTAGGATGCTTCATTGATGGACATGAACTCCTTCAGTCCGATGATGCCAACATCCCCTCTATCGATGATAAACCAAATCAAGTTTGAAGATGAGACAGATTTAAAGGATCTCTTCATTACAGTTGATGCACCTGAAAGCCATGTTACTACAATAGAAACTTTTATTACTTACAGGATTATAACTAAGGTAAACATTGAATGAATATTTTCTTGCATATCACTGCTCTCTTTGAATATTTTGGAAGTGCTTCTTGGTCATTATATCTCTTAATATGCAGAATATTATTCAAATTGACTTTTACTTTTCTATCATTTTGGGTAAGATATTGTATCTTATCTGCCATTTACTTGTTCTGTTTGAAGTTTAAAATTTGAATTTACTTAATAACTAGTAATTTAGTTATAACTATTAGAATAAAAGCATTTAGATTTTTACTGTAAAAAATAAATAAATACCTTTGGAAAAGAAAAGCCAAAGTTTTCTAATGCAGATAGTAAATGGTTAAAAACATGACATAATATTTTGTATTTACAATTCTTCTAAAGATTATAAAATGTAATACTGTTGTTTTTCAGGAGAAGATGGCCACTTTATATATGATTTACCATTACTTCTTTAATAATGCAAAGGCAGAAGTAGATTCAAAACCCAAGACTCCTTTATCCTCTGCAAAAAGACAGTTTACCTCAACCAAATAGTATAATTGGAATTTTATTAAGTACTTTATTTAGAGCAGTCTTTGATAATTCTGTTTATAAGTTAAATATCTTGTTTATAAAGCCTTACCCTGGAGTTGTGTGGTTCATAAATATAAAAGATTCATCTCTTTTTTTAGCTGAAAATATTCTGAACTGCATTCCTAATGATCCTGTCTCCTAATACAAACTTGAGTCTGTAAGCTTCTCAAGGGTGTTGACTACATCTGAAGTGGTTAGTAATTGCAAACACAATTTTTAGGTCATAGTAAGTAAGCAATTAAATTTTTTGGTGAATGAGTGAATGAGTTTACAATATCTTAGTTAATATCAAGAGGTGATAGAACAAGATATGCTGGAATTAAATCTTGATTTCTCCCCTTCCTTATTATGTGTCTTGGACAATTCAGTTAACCTCTATTTATTAGTATCCTCGTTTGTTAATAGGGTCATAGTTCTAATTATTTCATGGGGTCTTTATGAAAATCAAATATGTTAATATAGGAATACTGCCAGGAGTAGAGGCAGGGTTCTCTGGTTACTACTCTTATAAGCTTTGGTTGTCATCATCCTTCCAAGCAGAGAATTTGTGAAACAATTGTTTTCCTATCATTCACATCTCTTGGAAAGATGCTCTTCATAAGCTCTCTAGTGGATTTCATTATGATCATAGACATATAATGAGTTATTCATATTTGTATCACGCTTTAAATGGACTGCTTTAGTATTAATACTAATACTAATAATAGTATTAATAGGAATTGTGACTACTTGTGTCAAACAACACTCAAACCACTTTCTAAATGTTAACTTATTTAAATTTGTAACAGTTCTAGGTCTTATATATTATGATTTACCTTCATTTCATTCATAAGGGCACCAAAACTCAGTAATTTGCCAAGGATTATACATCATAGTAATTAGCTGAGCTGGAATTAAACTCAGTTTACTTTCATAATATACATTTTTTTCTATTACATTTTTGTGTATCTGTATATGGATATGACAACTTTTCATTATAACTATTACAAACTAAATTTCTTTATTTCCTCTTACTTTTACCAGCATCTTAATATAATACACTAAAACATATTTTATAGATACAAATGATAAATGTCTAATGGATATGTTATGTTATCAAATAATCTCTTCTTTGTTTTTTACTTATCTTTATTTATTTATTTAATAATTTATTTAATAAAGTTTATTGAGAGCCAATTGTATCCCAAGTTACTGAGTTTGTATATTAAGACTACATCAGGGGCTGGAGTTGTGGCTCAGTGGTAGAGCGCTCACCTAGCACATGTGAGGCACTGGGTTTAATCCTCAGTACCACATAAGAAATGAAATAAAAAAGATATTGTATCGAACTACAACTAAAAAATAAATTTTTTTTTTTAAAAAAAAGACTACATCAATGATCAGGACAGACCTGGCAGAAAGAGCCTTTGTCTTCCATGGATCTTTCAATCAGGAAGATGGATGGGGACAAGGGTGTAATATTAAATAATTAGATACTTATTTAATTATAAGTTGTGTTATGAAGGAAAAATACAAGATATGTGTATTGAGTACCCCAATCTAATAAGCATTAGAGATAGCTTCCCTGAGGAAGTTTTAATTTTATAAGTACTTACATTCATAGACTCTAAGGTAAAAAGGATAAATGCACATGTAAATATGCATATATGTGCACTGATAATCTCCTGCTTAGGAATGCTTATGAACTTACTGTTCATAATGAGCACCTGGATACCCATGCCCTTGGCATTAGTTCTTATGGGAAATTACCTCTTCTTCTCTCATATTTGAGGTGACTGCTCTCAAGGAATACTTGCTCTTTTGGAAAATCTAGAGATTGCTTTCTCTTAGAACTTGTAGAAGGAAGGACTAAGAAAATCAACAATTGACTTTCTCCCACATCCTTATCATGAAGAAAAACCTAGAAAAGTCTACAGTATTCAGAGAGGTTAAATTATATTATTGATGGGTTGCATTGATTGTTAGGATCATTTAATCTCAAAAACAGTTTTCTAAATTTTCAGAGCTTAGAATAACTGTTGACACCTGACCAAAGGTCAGTGTTAGTTGAATGGATGCAATTTGGGTATCAGCTACGTGAGAATATTGGTACTAAATTTCATATTTCTGAGCTAAAAACTCACTCAGGAATAACGGGTCAGCCATAAAAAATTAGCCATGAGTTAAGAGTATAACAGTGTGTACCAATTTAACAATATTGATATGAGCTGTTTGTCTTGTCATATTCCCTTCTGGAGTGGAATTACATCTTAAATTAGTAAGAAAAATCATACTCTTCTTGATACTTGCTCTCTTTTCTTCCTCTGTTATTGTATTTTGTTAGAGAATTCAAGTCAATGACAAAGTGATGAAGACAGAATCAACCAATTATTTAACTTGATTTTTCCATCTTTTGCTTGTTGGAATTTATACCAAATTGTTTTATGTTGAGTAAAGAGTTGGAAACTCTTAAGCACAACTAATCTTATTTTGACTGCCCATTTTTAGAGTGCATTTATTGTTATTTATGGTAATTTAATGAACCTGTATGCATACACCTGGCACAGAAAGGTGCTCATTCTCATTAAGTGTTTCTTAATGAGTGACTCTGGACTATGTTTGTGTGCGTATGTATGTATGTTTGCATGTATGTGTATTTGCATATGTATGCACACATACCAACTAGTATGTATACACTGTTAAAGTGTGTTTCTACTAGATTTAGTTTTCCTATTTTTACCATTTTTATATTTTCCACCATTTTGCAACATAGTTAAGATTTTTTAGGGTTTCTTGAACATTTAATTTCTTAGACTTCTACATCTCACTTACCCCTTCTTTTTAAAAAAGGGAGTATTTTACCAAGATATAATGTATGATATTCTAAACATTCATTTTAAAAGAATAATCTTTGGAAAGCATAGCTTTCACAGAGTTTATTTTATAACAATTAAAATTGCATCTTATTAAACTGCTGTATCTATAATTGGATCATCTGAGTGGGTGACTAATATTTCTTTTTTTTTTTTTTTAAAGAGAGAGAGAGAGACAGAGAGAGAGAGACAGAGAATTTTAATATTTATTTTTTAGTTTTTGGCGGACACAACATGTTTGTTGGTATGTGGTGCTGAGGATCGAACCCGGGCCGCACACATGCCAGGCGAGCGTGCTACCACTTGAGCCACATCCCCAGCCCGTGACTAATATGTTATTTCATGTTTACTCCTCCAGAAAATTTCAACCTAAGTATTTACTACATTTAATTTTTAGCATGTAAAATTTAGTTAAATAAGGTATCAGTGAAAGTGACTGTTTTCTTATAAAAGTTGAGTATGTCTTTGGAAGCCACAGTTTTTGTTTTGGCCTGGAATTCAAGCAGTGGATGTGAGGTTAAAACTGGATTCATGTTCCTCTTGTCATATGTGTTGGAATAGATTTTTGGTTTACTGAACAGATCTTTTAATGTATTTGCTTAATTTTCAGGAGTTCAGGCATGTGATTCAAAATAAAACTCCTTGAGAAATGACAGAAAGATTTTCTTTTCATTGCAAATACCCATTAATTACATTTTCTTAAAACAGTGGTAAAAATCACTCTGTAAAATGTTAGAATTTTTATATACTAAAAGCAAATTTTAGCAAAGCAATTCATTTGAACAAATTCCAAGAAAACATTTTTCTCAGTTATATTCAGGTTATTTTCCAAATTACAAAAATAGGACTTTCCTCAAATTCTGAATTATAATCATCTTGAAAAAAGAAATATATTTGAAACCTAAATTCACAACACACTTTCTTCTTAAGCGAGAAAGTCATGCCAAAGATAATAGTAGTTAAAATCTTGTGGAAGACAGATGGTTGTTGTAAGACAGATTTTTCAGTTTGGACTTTAAATTTAAGCATGATGTTTGCTTTCTTTTTGGAAATACCGGAAAGTTTGCTTTATTTCATCTGCTACATGAATAGATGACTTAAAAAAAATACAGGCTGACAAACACTGAATAATTAGGATTTGTTAATTTTTCTTAGAGACCCATTTATTTCAGAATGTCTGAAATCACATTAGGCAAATGTCTCCTGGCTTCTCTTGCATGTGCTGTTATTTTCTCCTACTTTGTTCAGACGTCTCGTGGGGAATTTGACTCCAGTGAATTTGAAGTTAGGAGACGTTATCAAGATTTCCTTTGGTTGAAGGGAAAACTTGAAGAAGTACACCCCACTCTGATTATTCCAGTAAGTTTGCAAGTTTTTTCATGCTACTAATTTTTTCTTGAATCTTTTAGAATGCTTAGAACCTAACACCAGATCTTTACATTCATTGCAATTTATTTATCTTAGAAACATTTATTTCTAAAGTTTTGAATCTGAGTATAGATTTAAAAAAAACTATTATTTTGCATGTTTTGGTTTTAGCATTGGAATTTTTAAAAATTATTTTTATAAGAATCAGATATTGAACTAATCTTTCAAAAAAGAAAAAAATATATATAGAGAATTCCTTATAAACCTTTGCCACAAATTCTCAGATTGCTTTTGTTTTTGCTTTTCCTTTTTTTGGTTTCAGCCATTGCCAGAAAAGTTTATAGTGAAAGGAATGGTCGACCGATTTAACGATGACTTCATTGAGACCCGCAGGAAAGCATTGCATAAATTTTTGAATAGAATTGCTGATCATCCAACTTTAACATTTAATGAAGACTTCAAGATTTTTCTCACTGCACAAGCTTGGGTAAAAATTTTGATTTCTACTCATATATAAGCATTTGGTATTTGAATGCTTTCTCTTGTTTACCTTTATATATTCAGCACTAGTATCCTTGAATTGAGATGGAGTTTCTTAAAATCACTTGAGGGATATACTTGAATGAAGTATAACCCTGTGTCTAATCTACATGTGAACATTGCAGAGGTCTTGTATCTTCCTTAAATGAACTCACTGTTATTTCATTTGGTTGTTGGCCTTATTTTCAAATGTCAATGTGTTCATTGTACATATAGTTAATACTGAATATATAGGAATGCATTTTTTGACACTATTTTGAGCAATAATGGGTTAGGACTTTTCAAGTTCGGATAAAATTATTATTAAATACATAGATAAACACTCTCTTTTATTTCAAATACTACTTGGGAGGGTAACCTAATTTTTAATACAGAAATCCTATGTGTATTTTATTTGGTTTTATTTTCTATGAAGCTCTCAACAAGAAAGATAATAGGACAATAGGAAAAATAATTAAACAATTATTAATCAATGTTTAGTTTTCTATCTCTCAGTTGCTGCCAAAGTACTAGAAGCTAAATAGTGGTTCATTTCTATCTTGAAAATTCTGCTCTCTGGAAGCCCATTGCAACTTAGGTGTAATAAATGTGTGGCCTGACTGCAAGCTATGGAAGCCCTTAGAAATATCCTCTACAGGCCAACAGTTGGAATAACAGCCTTCCAGTTGTAATTTGGGCTGTCTCTAATGACTTACTGTATCAAATGGTGCTGTAGTACCTCTGGATGAATGTATCACCGGGTCAATGATGACACCTGTTATTATTTGTACACAAAATCATACTGACTTGAAAACAAACAAGTTTATATATATGTGTAGTTTTCTGTAAGACTTTTAAGAAAACCTGGACAGAGATGGATAATGTTATTCATTATTTTGGTACATAATAGATAGTTTTTAATGTGTGAATTATATAGTCAGTATTATTATTTATGGATTTATTTCATCTGTGTTACTCTTCATGTATTTTGATCTTTAGAAATCTGTGTTTCAACAAATGCTACAGCCATCATAAGAATCCTTGTGCTCTTTTTTGTTGTTCTTTTCAAATATGCCGTTATTTCTGAAGGAATGCATTTAAGTGTACTATAATAGCTTTATAGCATTTCTTCTGTATTGCAAATTTGTTGCTGTCCCTGCTAGGTTAACTCTGAAATAGATAGTTACATATCTTATTGAAAATCTTTCTGTATAGAGAACCAGCCAGTGGACGTAGTGTCACAACTTACCCATTTCAGTTGGATGAAGAGCTATTTTAGGTAGTATCTGTTTACAAACTGTTCTGGGGACTTTACAGAGGCAAAGTAGGTTGGTCAGCTTAACAGTGATGCCTCTGTGGTCCAATCTCCAGTCTTCCAATCCTTGCTGTACCACTTCATTGCTCTGAAATGTTGAGTAACTTAATGACACTTTCTATGTTTCTGTTATCTTCTGTCAAAAGACAAAAATAGAACCTACTTTGTAGGTGTATTGTGAGTACGTGTATACAAATATGAGTATAGTGCCTAAGAACATATTAAGCTCAATAAATGTTAGCTCTTATTATACCAAAAGAATTAAGGATTTTTTTTAAAGAGAGAGTGAGAGAGGAGAGAGAGAGAGAGAGAGA